TTAATATACTACAATGGTCAGTTATTGAGGTATTACAAACCATTGTGGTTACTGAGTTTATCGTTTTCACAAAACAGTGATCTAAGCAATTTTTATCACGAGTAGGTAGCACGTGTGATGGAAGCAAACCATGAGATGCAAGTAGGTCCAAATAATCAGCTGTTTTAGTGCTGTTATTTTCGGGTTTTATATCAATATTTATATCGCCTAAGAGTAATATATTTGCATGTTGTTTTAATTTTGTGAGGACTTTATCCAGTGACTTCAAGAAATTTTCAGTATTTTGATAGGATGGAGGTCTATATACACAAATAATAGCAAAATTATTTTGGAGTGTGAGTATTAGACAGTTTGCATCTACTATATCTGTAGATTCGCTTACTTTAACAATTAAGTCGTCTTTAACGAAAGCAACTACACCATCATTCTGATTTAAATGGTTTTGTGTAAAATATGAGCTATAGGTCGGAATTTTTGGTATAATAGAATCTTTGTTCAACCAACACTCAGTTAGAATAATTATATCTTGTTGAAAGTTAATACGATCTAGTAAAACAGTAAGATTATCAAAATTTTTATTGATGCTACGTATATTTTGTGTAAAAATATTAAGAGCGTTTTCAGAAATGGGCAAAGACGTACCATAGAGCTTCTCTTCATCAACAATCATTGCACTTCCGACATTGACACTGGAGTCAATGTCATCTAATACCTCTAGTGTATTATTCATTATATTTAAAGTCAATAATGCAGTATTTAATGAACATAAGGAAGTACAATATTGAATCTTCAGATAAGCATTGGATGAGAGCTTTACTTGTGTGTGGTATATAAATGTAAATAAAATGTGGATATAATATGTACGTATGTAAATGTAATGTAAGTGAACTAGTTTGTGTATAAGTATATGTTAAAATGTAAGCAACAACACATGCAGTATCCATAAAAAATAATCTGAAATTAACAAAGTAAAGTATAAAATAAAAATAAATGTAACAGTATATAGTATTATGATTAAGAATATCAGAGCATAGTCAATTTTGTAAGCCTGGTAAATCCATTTTTAATGCCTCAATTTGGGTTAACATTTTGACATGTATGGTAGGAGTATTATCAGATTTTTTGATAAATACCTTACCATGTTTTATCCAGCAAAATTTGAATCCGTGGTTTTTCTTCAGCATTCTGGCCTGATAGTGAAGTAACCTCGTATTCGAAGTGAGGAGTTCCGATATAAAAAGTGGTCGTTTTTCTCCTTTTAATCCTAATGTTAAGCTATTTAGTTTATTATCCTCATGATCCATATTATATTTCTTTACAGCTGCTAAAATTTCTTCACGTGCTTTTATAGTCTGATATTGAACAATTATATTATGCTGATTTTTCCCAACTTTTTTTAAGGAGATTTGCCGTACTTCACTATCATTTAGTGTAATCTTTAAGGAATCTTGTATTTTTTTAACAATTTCTGGGAGTTCCTGCTGCTCAATTATATTAACATTGCGTATTTCAATTGAAGTAGCGTTTTGGATACGTAGGCTTTCTTCTAATGTATCTTCCAAATTCTGTATTCTCTTTAACATTATTTCATGATCTCTAACGACAGAGATCACTTTGTTATTTAGATCATTATGTGAAGCCGTTATTACTTCCAATTTTTCCTCAATTCCTCTCTGTGCCTTTACTATAGTTCTGTTTTGTTCTTTTATTTCTTCCAAAGATTTCTGTAGTTGACTATACATACAATCCTGGTTTTTATTCATATTAGACACCATCATAATTAACTCATCGCGAAGTTCAAGTCTGTCAATGTCATCACGTTCTTTGCGCTTTCTCAAAGATACAAAAGCATTGTCCGTTAGATTAAATAAATCGGATTGTGATGAAGATCTTCTTTCGGGAGGCGAACGTTGAACGGACATGTTTTGTCTTAACTCGTAGCATATACTATGCAAGCACTTGACGTCAAAGTATTTTTTAGTTAAAGATTATATTAAAGCTGCAATCAATTATCGACACAACACTGGAAATAATTAGGTGTAAATTACTTTGTAGTGATTTTTAAATTTATATTAATTTTACGGGACGCAACTGCTCACTACAAGAGCCAGACGATGAATCGATATTTGATCTTTAGATTGATTCCAAAGTCATGTCTTTTTTTATTTTAAGCGCTTTCACCTTCTTCAGGTATATCAGCCCTATTGTACCCTGAATTGCTTTTTTCAGATATTGTTTTACCACTTTCAAATGTGATCTTCAAAAATTTCTGATTTGGCTTCAGCTAAAATTATATTTATGTTTTAAAGTTTGTCATAGTTATCAGAGGGAATCTTTGTACAAAAGTCGTTTGCTTGAGCACCTCTGTCCCATTCGTGTTTCTACCGTGAAGCAGTTGTGTTTGCATGGCTGTGTTTCGGTTTGAAGGGTGGGATATGGCGTGAATTTATTGGGTACAGAGGAATAACACCTGAGTCCTTAGGAATGGCAACGCACGGGGAGTATCATGGGCGAAACAGTCTGTTATGTCCATGGTATAGCTCATGTCTATAGGCGACGGTTATCACTTTCCATCAGTTAGGCAGTCAGTTTGTTTGCAATACTGAGTTGCATAAAAAAAACTGTTGTATTGTTTTGTAGTCATATTTAAATTACGAAACTTACCTTCAAGTTCGAGTACTGATTTTGATAATCAGTTTGATTGACTGGCTGTTCTAGGTGACGGACAACTGTGCGTTGAATGAAACTGCAATGACCATGGTTTTTGTAACTGGTATGCTACTGGCTGTTCTCAATACGCTGATGAGCGTACTTATCAACTATTTAGGGAGAAAGAATCTTCTCATTGGTTTACAGGTATGTCAATATTAATTAATTGAATGAATTAATGAATGGTTTATTTTCTCTTCACAAAAGGTTGTATAAAGTGACAACTTGAGGTACAATTAGATATGTAAGACCAATTTTGTGAGAGACAGGTGCTTGCTGTAGGTTTTGAAGAACCTGTGCCAATTGATATATATCCAAAGATAGCCTGGAAGAGATCGCTTTTAGCGATAAGGCCGCTCACTGTTTTCTCATTGTGATTATTTCTTGTAATTGTTTATATTTATAATATGTTTACTATTGTAATCTTTTGGAGGAAACAATAAAGAATATCTATCTATCTATCTATATATTATAGTATATTATCAATGTCGATAAGTGTCAGGATTATTTTTTTAATGGATGATAATGAAATGGTAACCCCGCCTGCGCTAACGGTAAGGGCTGATTAACCGCTAAAATAATAATAAGTTTTTTTTTTATTGGTAGAAAATAGAATAGTAGCCCCGCCTGCGCTAACGGGATACGCTGGCGGGGCACCAGTAAAGGGTAATAGATGAGAATGAAAACAGGCCAGTTAGCCCATCATGATGAATTCATTAGGAATTAATCATGATAGTTTCCAGGGGAAACCGCGAGGAGGTCGACCTGGTTGGGTATATTGCTAGCAATGGGATTCTCAATCTTCATTACTAACAATCCATTTCCCCCCAATAAGTAATAGTTAGTAGTCGACATAGCCCGAAGGATTAGATAGCTCAACAGGCAATGGGCTGGTCACATAGCTTGAAGAATTTCCAACCGATGAGGAAGAAAGGTTCTTGAGTGGCGACTGCGTACGGGTGAACGCAGTGTAGGACGACCCCCCACTAGATAAAGTGACGACCTGAAATGCATTGCAGGGAGTCAGTGGATGCAGGTGGCTTAGGACCGTTCTTTATGGCAGTTTATGGGGGAAGTTTATGTCCAGCAATGGACGGATAGGGGCTGAAATGATGATGATGATGATGGTAAATAGTAAGTAGTGATAGTAATTCTCAGATAAAAATGTTTTTTTTTTTTATTTTACAGCTGTTTGCTGGTGTGTCAGCGCTGTGTCTGAATTTGAGTTACAACTGGATTCTAAGCGCCATCCTCTTCGTTGTGTTCATCGCTGGGAACTTAAACTTTGGTCTACTCTCGACATTCAGCGTTGATCTCTTCCCTACATATGTCAAGTGAGTATTATTCTGCATTTATTGAGAACTGCAACAACATTCTGAAAGTAATAAGCGAGAAGCGACTCGTCTATAATTAGGCATTTAATTCCGATGCTGATTTAGGCAGTTGGGTCATATCTGAGTAAATTGCTTTAGTCGAATGTTCACTCTTTTGTTTGTTTTTTTTATTATCATAATTTTTAAGGAAATTGTTGCTAATAATATGGACTAAACTGTAGTCTGAAAATAATTTTATCAATAATATTATTATGATTGATAAAATATAAAAAAATTGGCTTACTAATATAATCCATAATAAATTTACCAGAGGGAGACTTTGTACAAAAGTCGTTTGCTTGGGCACCTCTGTCTCATTCGTGTTTCTACCATGAAGCAGTTGCGTTTGCAGTTCTGTGTTTCGGTTTGAAGGGAGGGATTTGGCAGTGTGTTTATAGGGTACAGAGAAATAACATCTGAGACCTCAGGAATGGCAACGCGTGGGGGGTATCATGGGCGGCAACAGTATACTCTGTTATGTCCATGGTACTGCTCATGTCTATAGGCGACGGTTACCACTTTCCATTAGGTGGGCCGTTAGCTTGTTTGCCATTCTAAGTTGTATAAAAAAAAAAAATTAAATTTTTCTTATAGGGCCATGGCTGTATGTCTGACACTGATGGTGGGTCGAGGCGGTGCCGTTTTAGGAATCAATTTGCTCAAGAATTTGCTCGACAGTAACTGCGGAGCTGCTTTTTACATCTTTGGAAGTGTTGCTTGCCGTATGTTATTGGATTTGGTTTTAGCTTTAGATTAACTTTTTATATCATAACTCATGCTCGCTATCTTCTCATCTCATCGCCGCTTGAACCTAAATAGTCACTTACAGAGCGGTTTTAAAGGAATTTTCTCCCGTGAACGCTTAGGCTGTGGAATGAGCACCCTGTTCCTGCCAAAGTAACCACTATAGATTACATTATGGGTTTGTTTAAAAAGAGTATGTTAAGGTTTGCTCAGGGTCCGTAACGCGCACGTGACACCTCTAGTGTTGCAGGCGTTTATAGTTTACACTGGCCATTTAATATCAGGCGCTTATTAGTTGTTTGTTTTTTTTTATACCACTGAGATGGCAAACAAGCATACGGCCCACCTGATGGTAAGTGGTTACCGTAGCCTATGAACACCTGTCATACCAGAGGTATTACGCGCGCGTTGCCGAAGAAACCTCTTAACCTCACCTTTGTGGTATAAAAAAACATTATGTTTATAATCTGCCAGAGATGTTGTCCTTTAGTGGCCTGCCCGTTTTTATAGTAAACGGTTTTTTTTTATTGGTTGAAAATGGAGTGGTAACCCCACCTGCGCTAATGGGATACGCTGGTGTGGCACCAGTGAAGGGTGATCGATGAGGATGAAAACAGGTCAGGCCCATCACGATGAATTCATCAGGAATTAATCATGATAGTTTCCAGGGGGAACCGCGAGGAGGTCGACTTGGTTGGATATATTGCTAACAATGGGATTCTTAGTCTCCATTACTAACAATCCCTTTTCCCCCCTAACACACACGGGTATGCGACCCTGACCTCCCGAGCTGCTGCTGTTTCTGGCCAGTATCTCATCTGCATTTGCAACGTCCCTTTTCTCCGTCCGTCCGTTTTCATCATAAATCCTTCATTCCTTTTCTACTAGCTTCTTTTACTCTCTCCCAAAATCTCCTTCGTTTTTCTTCGATACTTTCTTTCATCTGTAGGTGGCGGATATTCATCATCATATCAGCTTTTAAGTGTCCTTTCCTTAACATAAGCCTCCCCCTTGGGGGTTTTAAGAGGGACGCTGCTGCCAATCTCTCGCTCTCCCTTAGTCGCCTCTTACGACACCCACGGGAAAGGAAGGGGTGGCCTATTCTATGCCGGCACCGATATGACTATTTAACCATAACAAATGTAAAAAAGCAACCGTTTTTTTTTAAATATTTGTTTAGACTACCTTTTTTTAATGGACGATAATGGAATGGTAACTCTGCTTGCGCTAATGATATACGCTGGCGGGGCACCAGTGAGGGATGATAGGTGAGGATGAAAAGGCAGATCAGTTAGCCCATCGTTACGAATTCAATGATAAATTAGTCACGATGGTTTCCGGGGGAACCGCGTGGAGGTCGACCTGATAGGACATATTGTTATCAATGGGGACTAACCTCCCCTTTGATAACAACCCTTTCCCCCCTGTTTAGACTACTGATATTGATTAAAACTGCATAATTGAACATTGCGTTTGTTTATTTTTCAGTTGGTGGTATCTTCGGCTTTCTACTGCCATCGGACAAGAAAATGTCGGACCAAAATAAGCTAGTGTAGAAACATATCAATAAATATTAAAGTTATTTATTTATGAAGACAATATTAGTAAAATAATTAAGTATTCTGTGATTTCTGACTACAAAAGGAAAAGGGGAAAAGATTGTGTTTCATAAAAAAAATACTTGAATTGTGCCAAAACTCGTTATTTTAATTTAAAACCTAAACTACTAATCCAATTTTGATAAAATTTCTATGGAACCAATCTGTAAGTATATCTTTACTGATAAAAAAACAATTCAAAACGGTTTATAACAGAAGTTGGGAGATAACAGTCACACAAAAAAATATATAACCGAATTCAGAATTTCCATTTTGAAGTTGGTTGAAAAGAAAAAGTTGGTTTCGTGTGTGTTTATAAGATGTTGGCAGCATTGAAGCTAATACGAGTTACATTTCTCGAGAATGTTCTAGCACTGATATCACCGTGCGACGACGTAATACTTACATCTAGGCATTTAAAAAAAAAATTAAAAAATAATAATGAAGTATATATTCTGTGGAAATAATTTGTGGCTGCAATATTTTTAATTTTTTTTTTTTACTTTATTTATTCATAAACAATAATTTGTATTTGAATGTAATAATATAATAGATGTAACCTCTTATTTATAAAAATGTCAAACATCTCATAAATCTATTTTAGCTATTGAACTGTCGTATCTCTTTCCTTTGCGCTAAATTCGTAATTTGAAAGAAAGTGACAAAACAATGTAATAGGTTCTAGACGTTTTTAATTTTTATGAATAAGAGGGTAATTGTTTAACCACTTAAGCATCTCGAACGAGACCCTTTCGCGCATCAAGTGTTCCAATTTACTTAATTTACACTATCCCGAATACCTCTCGCCGCATATAAATATTATGTTTATATTTTCATCTGGAGCTATATCTTCTCGCCCGTTTGTATTTTATAGAGCTTATTGTATATTTATTGTATGCTCGTTCGAATTTAGTGCGTGCGCCAGTGCGCCAGTTGACCTCATTTCACAGAAAAACTCTCGCATTAAGTGGTTAAAAGGTCATAGGCCATATCATGTGTTACCGATACGGCATCCTACTCATATATGTAAAAATATAGTTTTTTTTTTACAACACAGGGGGCAAACGAGCATGCGGCTCACCTGAGGGTAAGTGACTACCGCCGCCCATGGTCACCCCATCACCTACGGCATTGCAGGTGTACTGCCGGCCTTTTAACGTAGGCTACGTTATATATATTCATGCAGACAAAACAGCGGGAAACTGTTAGTTTGCTCTGAAAGTGACTTGTGTTTCTGTGAACACAAATTGAGGTTATGACGAATTTGATTTTAAATAATGAAATTTATATAACCAGTATCTACTTCCTATCGTTTTCATACCTTGACTCGAATTGTTGCACGATTTAACGTTAATAATTTGCTTATGTTTTAATATTGTTGATTTTGTATTCTAATTGAATTAAAAATATTTTAATGACAATAAAGTGTAATTTCTTTTTTATTAAGTTTTTATTTAATATGCCCACGGAAAGATAAGGGAAGTGACATTGCGTTTATAATATTTTTTAGAATGTTAAATCAGTTGATGATGAATTTGATGAAAAATGATGATTGGCGACTATGGGAATCACATCACATTCACACACTTTTAAAATTAAAGAAGGAAAGGGATTGTTAGTAATGGGGTATAAGATCCCCAAGTAATATACCCTATCAGGTCGACCTTTACGCGGATCTCCTTATAAACCGTCGTAGTTAAATTAAGTCTTGTGGAATTCGTCATTATAGGCTAATTGGCTCGCTTTCATTCTCACCTAACATCGCTCACTGGTGGCCCGCCAGTGTATACCGATAGCGCAGGCGGGGTTTAGATTCCATTTTGAAACATTAAAAACAACTCTGGAAGGTCGTATTGTTTTTTTTTTACCTTTGCCTACTATAAAATAGTAAAAGAATTAAAAAAAGAATAACAAATTTCCACCAGGCTTTGAATAAAAAAAAAATTAATGAAATCTATGCAACCATTTAATTGGATTATAAAATTTTATTTCGTAAATTACCTAGATCTTTTATGATATCTTTCGATATAAATATTTTGCATAGAGGCGTGTTATAAATAGCTACACAACAGTAAGAAAATCGATTTATATTATTTTGTTAAAACATCTTGATGTTTGCATAGACTCCTTTACCAGTTTCGTCAATATAAGGATAGTGCCGTCTCTTAAATAACCTAGTGGTGATTACTTTGCGATTCCCGCCATAATTTAATACCGCATATTTAGGGTCGTAATTTTATTATAAAATTATTATTGCTAGAAATGTAATCGTGATTTTAGAAATAGGCATTAAATAAATATCAACTACATATTATATTGAAGGTAGATGAAGATTCTGTGTAATTATACAGAAATTTGTACCTACCTACATTCTATTTTAACACTATGGCACCATCTTTTTCCAGACTCTTTCATTTCAACCATCGCTCAGTTGCTGTGTGCACATTATGTGAAATTGTGTTTCACTACTAGAATACAAATAAAAAATATATTACCAAATAAATCACTAATATGTTCAAATTAGTTTTACGTCTGTTTGTGTACGTGGTTGTAGTTTTACCTGTCTTACAAGTAAATTGCAAAACGGCCGACAAAAATGTAGGAGGTCATTACACTTCCAAAGATAAAGGTATGGTTTATGATTTATTAAGAAAGAATAATAGTTTATCTGGTATTGGGTTTGCTGGAAGAAATCTCTTTTAGAGATAAGCTCTGGTACACTTTTTTTTTCTGCATAATGAAGAATAAAGAATAGAATTGAATTAATCTTTGTTTTAATATACTTATTTACAACTTCTTTTAAATAGTAAATGTTTTTTTATTTTACTACTGAGAGACTCTCTGGGCATTCGTTTTTATTCTTTATTGCAATTTTAAATTAGATAGAGGGAGACTTTGTACAAAAGTCGTTTGCTTGGGTACCTCTGTCTTATTCGTGTTTCAACCGTGAAGCAGTTGTGTTTGCATGGCTGGCTAATTACTAACATTTTTTTCCAACTCACGCTCATATAATTAACAGTTACAGGCCACGCACACAAAAAAGAGAGACCATGCGACATATGCCCTCGGCAGGGGAAATGTGTCCCCAAGGTCCAGTGTCCGGCGCACGTCAGACCTCATTCGTACAACCCCGAATGCCATTTGGAAACGGTCGGTCTTTTGGGCGTATGCTGTTTTACTGGTAGTGGACATGCAGGTATCTTATTTTTAAGTATGTAAGTTATTCTTATGTATAAGTAAGGTTTTCCTTTCCTATGCGTGTCGTTAATCGTGTGGTTCCAGAATAGAATAGGCCACCCCTTCTTTCCTGTGGGTGTCGTAGTAAGCAAATACGGAACGGCGAGGGATGGGCAGCGCCGATCCTTTTAAAACAACTCTAAAGCTTAACTGCGGTTGTCAATCTGATTGCCAAGCGTGGCAAATATTGGCAACCCCCCTTCCAAAGGGAGGTTTATGTTCAGTAGTGGACGGTTAAGGGCGGATATGGTGATGGGTGTCGTAAGTGGCGACTAAGGGATCTTATTGGTCAAGGAATGGACAGCAGCGTCCATCTTCAGGACATCACCAAAGCCTAATTATAGTTTTTTTTTTATACAACTTAGAATGCTAAACAAGCTGACGGTCCACCTGATGGAAAGTGGTAACCGTCGCCTATAGACATGAGCAGTACCATGGACATAACAGAGTATACTGTTTCGCCCATGATACCCCCCATGCGTTGCCATTCCTGAGGACTCCTGAGGACTCAGATGTTATTCCTCTGTACCCTGTGAATTCACGCCATATCCCACCCTTCAATCCGAAACACAGCCATGCAAACAACTATTTCACGGTAGGAACTCTGTTGACATAACAGGATGGGGGTATCATGGGCGAAACAGTATACTCTGTTATGTCCATGGTACTGCCTATGTCTATAGGTGACGGTTAACACTTTCTATCAGGTGGGCCGTCAGCTTGTTTGCCATTCTAAGTTGTATAAAAAAAAAGTTGTAAGATAGCTGTTTTACTTTAAAACCCCTTTTTCGCCCCTTTTCAATCGACTTCAAAACAAAGAAGATTCTTAATTCGATTGTATTTTTTTTAGTGTTACCTCATAACTCCTTTAGTTTTAAACCGATTTGAATAATTCTTTTTTTATCTGAAAGGATATTATTAGTTCCATAAAAATTTCATTTACATCGGTTCAATAGTCAAGTAATAAAATGAAAATTTTGCAATAATTAAAGTTGATTTTTTTTAGATCGCAATCTTTACTAGTTGTAAACATTGCTACTGTGTTTTATAAGGAGTTTTATTTGTTACTATACAGCCTTCGTTTTCTATAAAAAATATTGTTTATATTTCTTATCGTTTTGCTGCAGCGGAGTCAGAACTGAAGTTCCGTGCAGCCGCTTCGGTGACCGCGGACGATGTGAAGTCGGCCCATCACCAGTCACGCCAGAAGTTCGAGCAGTGGATGAGCAGGGCGGACAAATTGTTGCAACACAAAGACGTAGTGATCAACGAGACAGCTCCAAGTTTTGCTCATCATCTGGTAACGTTGTTTTAATCTTACTTCTTATTGATATAGTGAAATTGAAACTGGGCGATGTTTGTACATGGTAGGTATTTAAGAAAAAAATATAGGGGGGGGGAGCTTAATAAGAGTTACAGAAGTCAATTTTCATTCATCATCATCATCAATCATCATATCAGCCTTTAACTGTCCACTGTTGAACATAACAATGAACATAAAAGATTATTAAAACTAGAGATATTTCAAATTTCTATAGGTTAGGAAATATTTTTAAAATTATATGCAAGCCGTCTTCTTGTTTATCTGATTGAAAGCAAGTTAGTGTCTTAATACTCGTAGTTGATCTTTCTATTCATTTGGTCTACATCTCGAAATTAACAGCCAATAAGCAACATGTTTACGCCGTGGGGTTCCGGCACAGAATAGGCCACCCCTTCCTTTCCCATGGGTGTCGTAAGAGGCGACTAAGAGTCAGCAGCGTCCCTCTTAAAACATCTCCAAAGCATAACTGCGGTTGCCAATCCGCTTGTCAAACGTGGTAACTACTACTTGGGTTATGTTCAGAAGTGGACAGTTAAAGGCTGATGGTGATAATACAACACGTTGCAGATAACAGTAACTCATCATACTCATACAAGTTTACAAGTTAAATTAAGTTTTTAATTCCAGTACTCATGGGAGTAATGGTTGTCTATGTAATGGTGGATTTTTATTTATAACAATTTGCAATCTAATAAATTCCCAAGCGAATTTTATAAGGTTTAATTTTGATAAACGTTTGGATGCTCCTGTAGTCAGTGATGACGTTAGACAAGAGAGCGGATACACTGGGCCGCGGTGGTCTACTGAACCTGTTCGCCGCCCAGGAGTTGAAGTCTCGTCAGGCGATATCTGATGACCAGCTCTCGTTAGGACTCACCGAGCATACAGACGGTGAGAAAAACTTTCATTTTTAATTATGTGTCTTTAAATGGCAAACAAGTCCACAAGTCTACTTGATAGAAAATCTGCCATTATTGCCTAGTCTTGAATAGTATTATGGTTTTGAAAGAATAAGTACAGTGTGATGCAGATTTTTTTATGGTTCATAATAAAATAGTAACCCCGCTTGCGCTAATGGTATATGCTGGCGGGGCACCAGTGAGAGGTGACAGGTGAGGATGAAAAGGCAGGTCAGTTAGCACATCGTGACGAATACACCTAGAATTCAGTATATATATAAGTTTTTTATATTCCTTCAATTTAATAATGCACCGCCTGATCATTTCTCTGTTCGCCCAATGGTTGACTGGTAGAGAACACCATCCGGTGTTAAGTACATAGTTTCAGCAGCACGGTTTCCAGGGGGATCATGGGGACGTCAACCTGAGAGAGTATATTGTTAGCATTGGGACTCATAGTCCGCATTACTAAAAACCCCTTCATCTTTAGGTTTTAATCATCGATACACAAGCCTCCACCATATAATACCACATGGCGTTCTTTATTCTTAGAGACTTGCAGTCAAGCTATAATGTCCGGTATCAGATTCAGGAGTAACGAATCTGTCAGGGATATATAATGATCAATATTTTTTCTCAAAAGGTCCATTTTGCCCTCCACCAATTCCCTGCTCGACGCCTGCTAGCCGCTACAGGAGTATCGGTGGTGAATGCAATAATCCAGTTCACCCTAGCTGGGGGGCCATCCATACTGGTTACGAGAGGTTGCTACCACCTGACTATAGTGACGGTATGGATGGAGATTCATATACCTTCTTTATGTCGGTAGTGTTAGTATTTATGTCTCATCTATTTACTTCATCAAGCAGTTTGGTTCCTTGGCACTACTATAGTTAAAACCATACCAAATCAGCCGTTAATTGTCTACTGCTAAATATAGGCCTTCTTCTATTGAGTGTGAGTTTGTCCAATAGTTGCCATGCTTGGCAGGCGAGTTGGCAACTGCAATTTTATGCAACTCAGAATAGCAAACAAGTTGACGGCCCACCTGATGAAAAGTGGTAACCGTTGCCTATAGACATGAGCAGTACCATAGACATAACAGAGTAAAATGCGTTGCCGCATAAGGGTCTCATGGACGAATAGGCGAATTCCTGGGGACTCAGTTGTTATTCCTCTGTACCCTGTAAATATATGTTATGCCTTGAGATGTTTTAAGAGGGATCGTTAGTCTGTCCGGAAAGTTCGTATAAAAGTGTTCTGGAATGCGAGAAAGAGGAGTGGGGAGGCCTAAGCGCAGGACCCCTTCCTTATGTCCCTAACAATGCTTCAGTTCTGGTCTGACCGCCGTGCGGTACTGGCTTGTCACGCCATCTGTGAAGTTACCTCTTAACGAAACCCCGTCGGCATGGAGCCCGCTTCCGTTGAAGAGCAGCGCGTCGTAATCAAGTTTCTCTCGAAACTCGGCAAGAATGGCCGTGAAATTTTTGCCGATCTCAGAACAGTTTATGGGGATGATGCTGTGAAGGAACCAACCGTCCACAAGTGGCTAAAAAGATTCAGAGAGGGCCGAGAAAGATCGATGTTCGGGGGATTGTCCATCAAGAATTCGTCCCTCCAGGAGACAGTTGATGGAAAATTCTACGTCGATGTGCTCAGACGCCTCAAAGCTCGTGTGGCACGAGTTCGTCCAGAATTGGCGCGAGAGGGGCGTTGGATTCTTCACCACGACAATGCCCCTGCCCACACCTCTCTTGTTGTCCGTGAGTTTTTGAGTTAAAATTCCATTACGGTGACCGAACACCCCCCCTATTCGCCGGATTTGGCCCCGTGTGACTTCTTCTTGTTCCCAAAAACCAAATTGGTACTTCGGGGGCGGCATTTGGGGGACATAAATGAGATTGAGAAACCTACAACCAGAGGACTTTCAAGGAGCCTTCTCACAGTAACGGCGTTGGCACAAGTGCATTATGTCACAGGGGGAGTACTTTGAAGGGGATAAAATTGATTTACCTGAATAATTGTAAAATAAAATTTTTAAAAAACTTTTATACGTACTTTCCGGACAAACCTCGTAAGGTCCCTTAGTCGCTTCTTACAACACTAACTGGAAATACCTTAAATTCCAGCTACAAAGATCAAAGATGACAAATTGTAAAAAAAAATCGCCGGTTATAGTTACATTCAAATGTGGCAAACAAATCTACATAGGTAGCTTCCGGTAAGCGACTATTGCAAGACTTGAATGCTTCTATTATCAGAGCTGTTGTAGGCGCGTTACTGACACGAAAGTCTTCATAAAATATATAGAAAAGAAATAAATAGTCTTTATGTTAATTATGTTTATGTTCAGAAATCATATTTCATTCTGAAGAAAATCAAAAACCTGTACTGGGTTTAGGATAAGGCCCTGTCCGGCGGCACGCGAGAGTGTCGGTATCTAGAGGAATCTAAATTCACAAGGGGCGCCCAATTCTAAGAGACAAATAAGACCATAGGATAAGGATTGCTTCAAATTCGACTAGAATGTATAGTGGATCCCCTTTAAAATTTCTTTTCTTAATCAGGGTAGAGAGATCCTCAGAAAAACGTGAAAATCTCATTTTATTTTTTATCATTGTTTTGGGTCAAAAACTTGCCCAAAGACATCATATAGGTTAAGGTCAGCTCTGATAGAGATAAAGATCACGTACTAAAAAAATGGAAAATTATTTATTAAAATTATTTGAAATTAATTTCCAATAGCACTATATCCGAACCTATACGATAACCTTGTAACCTTCAAGAAAAGAGCATATTGCTTTTTAAAAGGTTGATAACACAACTGCAATGCCTCTAGTGTTGCGGATGTTCATGGACGGCGTTAGTCGCTTATTATCAGACGAGCCGTATTCTCTTTTGCCCCCTGTGTTTTAAAAAGAAATATTAAGTATTATGAGGAGTGTTATAGAGTATATAAATCACATTTTTGTATACTTTTGAAGGTACGTGGGCTATGAGAGCTTCAACGATCGGTCTACCTCTGCCGAGTGCGCGCACAGTGAGCGAAAGGTTGATACTGGACGGAAGCCACCAGAGTCCCACACTCAATCTCATGTTCATGCAGTTCGGGCAGTTCATTGCTCATGACACTACGGCTGGTGTCATGTTCACTATAGGTAAGTGATTGCTCGAGTATATTATTTAGTGCCAAATCAGCTGTATCGAAAAATTTTAACTGTGAGTGCAAGCAAATTTGTGTATGAAAGAAGTAAGATTTCATCTCTAAGATTTATGTCATGGGATCTGCCAGAATACCGGCATTTCTAAGATAAGGAAAACTTTTTTGACCTCACCAGCATGCTAATGGTTTCTATTACCACCAGTAATATAATAAGATCAAATGATCACTAGGAGTAGGATTTTAACTTGGGTTAATGAATGGTGGTAAAATGTTACTTTGAGGAAGTGGAAAAAATATGAGATGGAATAATTGAATATATACGAGCGATGAAATTATTTGTTTATATTTATTTAGAAAGTCATAGAGATTATGTGTATGTATAGCAGCTTTTGGTAGTCGATTTGCTCTGCTTAATCCTAAAGGATCTGATCTGAAAATAATGTGTTTTAATCCAGGAAACGGCAGTGCCATATCGTGCTGTTCCGGCGATGGCCAAGCGTTTTTGCCTATAGAACTACAGCATTGGGCTTGTGCACCTATTACTGCTGATCCCAACGATGACTTTTACGGTCAATTCCATCATCAGTGCCTGAACTTCCTGAGGACACAATTGGCTCCGGCGAGCGACTGTTCCGTTGGTTATGCCAAGCAGGTTGGATTATCTATTTGGAGTAAAATGACTAGATTGTAACTACTTAGTTTTGTTTTATACCACTGAGGTGGCAAACGGCCCACCTGATGGTAAGTGGTTACCGTAGCCTATGAACACCTGCAATACGTTGCCGATCCTGAAAAAATCTCTTTGAAGAATCTCTCACCTTTTGAAGAACCCCATGCTGTAGGGAAAACCTCGGCAGGGAGCTCATTCCATAACCTGAGTGTTCTTGGGACGAAACACATCTGAAACCGCGCAGTACGCGACGATTAAGGCTGTAAGACATGAGGATGAACTTCCTGTCGATAGCGAGCCATACGATGACTATTTTACTATGCCTCAAAGTTAATTATGTATATTTTTTATGATACTCAGAATAGCAAACAAGCTGACGGCCCACCTGATGGAAAATGGTAATTGCCTGTAGATATAAACATCACCATGGACATTATAGAATATCTATAGTACACATATAGTTGGCTATGATGTTAAGCTTCCATATTCTGTAATTTCACTGTCATATGCCATCTCACATGCTTCTTTAAAAATAAATATTTCCAGATGAATGGTGCAACTCACTTCCCTGACCTATCCCATCTATATGGTAACTCTGAGGAGAAGGTGTCACAGCTGCGCGCTCCCGGTGGTGTACTGAACACGTTCAATGACTTCGGAAGGGAATTGCCTCCTCTTACAGACAGGAAAGAATGTCTCGCATCGAAAGATGGTGCCGCTTGTTTTGAATCAGGTAGTTATCTTTTGTTGCTGTTTCCAATGAATTTATTTGACCACATCTCATGAATAGTTGGACCATTATCCATGTCTTTTTTTTATCTTTTAATTGGGATTCACCTTAGCTGTGGTTCATGAAAATACCAATAGCAAAAATACAGTGTGTAATGTGTATGAAAGGAAGGTAAACCCGTGCTTAGCAATACAGGAGGACTTTTGGGACATTATTTAGTTGGTAAAAGATTAGATTTGGGCATTTATTATTTTTACATAAGCCGTTAACTGTCCACTGCTGAACATAGGCCTCTCCCATAAAATGCGTTTGGATAGTAGTTACCACGCTTGGCAGGTAGGTTGGTGGCCAAAGTTAGGCTTCAGTGATGTTTTTTTCTAATGGGTGATAATGGAATGATAGTCCCACCCGTGCTATTGGTATACACCAGCGGGGCACCCATGAAGGATGATAGGTGAGGATGAAGCAGGTCAGTTAGTCCACCATGACGAATTCAACAAGAATTGTTCACGATGGTTTCCAGGGAGAACCACGTGGACGTCGACCTAATAGGGCATACTGCTAGCAATGGGGTTGTCAAACTGCATTGCTAACGATCCCTCTCCCCCTCTCGTTGCCTCTTACGAAAACCACGGGGGAAAAGAGGTGGCACATTCTATGCCGGGAGTACACGACACTTGGCATTGAGGATTTACTTTCTTTATCTTAATTTTGATCTCGCAATCTCATGCTATGTTTATATAACTATAGGAGATAGTCACGGCAACCAAATCATTTCTCTAACGGTTTTGCACACCATCTGGACGAGGGAACACAACCGGGTGGCGAGAGCCCTCGCCAGGCTCAACCCCGGCTGGGGTGAAGACACCATCTTCATGGAAACTAGAAGAATACTCCAGGCTGAGTACCAGCACATCATTTATAACGAATTCTTACCGTTGCTTATAGGTGAGTGGATTTTGAAATTTCATATCTCGATGGTGTCGCGGTTTATCACGATTGATTCTCCTGAAAGTTGCAGGTTTAATCCCTTTACAATGAATGGATGAATGTATTTTATCTACTAAACTAGCTGGTGCTCACGATTTTGTCCGCGTGGTATTTGTTATTCCTGTGTAGTATGTATCGATGTACGACCTATTTATTATGTCCGAGGATTTTGGATCAAAATTAAGAAATGACGTAGTGTCGTTTTCACGTTTTGCCTTATGTCAAAATGATTTTACTTAAGTAGGTTGTGTACTAAGCTGTATAAGTTTTTATAGTGTTTTAGCTATCTCATGTCTTTAATTTTCTATGGTTAAAAGTACTTAAAATTTTGACCGGGGATGTAACGTACCACCATGCAAAATTTCGTTTAAATCGGTCCAACAGTTTTGCATTGCCATTCCTGAGGACTCAGGTGTTATTCTTCTGAACCCTATAAACTCACGCCATATTCTACCCTTCAAATCGAAATACAGCCATGCAAACACAACTGCTTCACGGTAGAGACACGAATGGGACAGAGGTTTTCAAGCAAACGACTTTTGTACAAAGTCTCTGTAGTGAAGGTACTTTTGTAATAAAACTTCGAAAGGTAGTATTAAAACCTGGAGTATCAACTGAGGTCGTTTTAATTAAGTGTTCCCGTATTTCCTGGACATTACAGTCTCCCTTTGGTAAAGTATGTATGGAGACACTCTATCTATATAATGCACGATATAGACGTATCAGTATCTGTTTCCATTCCAGGGCGGAAGTTAATCCAAGCATTCAACCTGTCACCATCCCCAGTATACTCCCAACTGGGGTCGTACGACCCCAACGTGAACCCCTCCCTCACCGCCGAGTTCGCGACCGCCGCCATGAGGTTTGGCCACTCTGTGGTCGACAGCAACATTGAGTAAGTTTCATCATCATCAAAATCTGTCAACATTATTCACGGGTCTTTCCAAACAGTATATAGCTTACTGGCTGGCAGAGGATACTGCTTTACCGCCATTGACATAGATAGATAGATACTCTTTATTGTTTCCTCCAAAAGATTACAATAGTAAACTTATTATAAATATAAACAATTACAAGAAATAATCACAATGAGACAACAATGGGCGACCTTATCGCTAAGAGCGATCTCTTCCAGGCAATCTTTGGATGGAGAGGAGTAACTATAAACAATTTGGTGGGAGGCACAAGGCTCTGTTATGTCCATGGTACTGCTCATGTCTATAGGCGACGGTTACCACTATCCATCAGGTGGGCCGTCAGCTTGTTTGCCATTCTAAATTGTATAAAAAAAAAGAGGGCGGTAGGGTATAAATCGTTTGAGGGGTCAACGGATTTCTAATAAATATCATTAGGAGACATTTTCTAACTGTCTCCAGTGAGCACTGTTGGGGAAATGTTAAACATCAGTTGACGCCGGTCGGTATTCAAATGATTTCCTCGTATTGCGCGGCGGCGCGGCGCCGGCGGCTAGTTCTAGTTTCACTGCGGTCTGCGCGTGTCATTAGAAAACGGCGTAATTACGCATTACAAAGATTAATGGATTCCTAATATACATTCAGTTAGTAATATTGAAATATAAAAGGTTTGTTATTTATTTCATACTAGTCGTTTCCTGCAGCGTTGCGCGCTTCTAACAATGTACTTCCCGTATATCATTCCAATTGGAACTTTTCATGAATCCGGTCTTATATTGTATTATATACTTAAATGATAATTACGTACCTAATACCTTCATAGACTTTCAACCAATTCATCTGACGGGTTATTTTATAGCATTTTATATGTGATTCTTTAGATGGATATAACTTTTTTTTTATATATAAATCGATTGAAATAAAATAAACACTGAATGTTAAATGAAGTAAACCGCAACGTATTAGTGAAAACCGTTTTCAAATCGGTTGAGTCGTTTTTAAGATTAGCGTGCACAAACGTAAAAAATAGACAAACAAACAAAAATTCTAAAAATCATTGTTCTGGGTTCTATTGTGTTCATAAAACTCTTATACCAAATGTATTTTCTGATCGGGACATATATCCCACTTACGAAGATGAAGTCGCGGAATACAAACAAGCATATACACACACGCACGCACGCACGCACGCACGCACATGCACATATATTACGTACTGTGTAGTCCCAATATAGAATGGGCCACTCCGTGCTTTTCCTGGGTATCTGCCAAACGTGGCAACTAATGAAAAACCTCCCTTATCCCCATAAGAGGGGTTTTCTAATAGACCTATGTTCAGCAGCGAATAGTGACAATGATAGTATATATTACGTCATATTATTATATTTGTTTGTCTTTTTAGGATACCTGACGCGAAAACAGGCGGTGTCTATGAAACGATTTCCATCCCCGAGGTGATGTTTCAGCCCTCAAGATTGAGGCTCAAGCAGTTCTTAGACCGTCTGCTGACCGGTCTCGCCTATCAATCGATGCAGACTGTCGATCCGTTTGTTACTGAAGGGGTAATGTATTTTTTTTCTATGACAATGACCAGCAAATAACAATAAACGGGTCATCTGATGGGAAGTGGTAACCATCACCTATAAAAGGAAGGGGCATCGCAAAATACATTAAAATATCGATGGTACCCCTGATTATGCTTCCACATCCTGTAACTTAATTTTTTTTACAAAACGTAGTAGTAAAACATACGGCTCGTTTTATGGTAGATGACCAACGTCACTGGTCAATACTCCGAGTTTCTAACTTACTACATGAGAATTTTCACCGTATTTATTATATTGCCATATTTCCTTTTTTTCTTTCTGCTGTACTAACGATTCCTTCCCCTTATTATTTCCAGTTGACCCGTTACCTATTCCATGGAGGGAATCCTTTCGGTTTGGACTTGGCGTCGATCAATATTCAGCGCGGTCGCGACTACGGCGTCCGCTCTTATAATGAATATCGGCGGCTGATTGGCTTGGAACCCTATGTCGACTTCAAGCAGTTCCCACCTAGTGTGAGTAGCATTGGTGTACTTTAAATATTTTGTCGTGTGGTCCCGGCATAGAATAAGCCACCCCTTCCTTCCCCATAGGTGTCGTAAGAGGTGTCTAAGAAAGGACGAGATTGGACAGCAGCGTCCTTCTTAAAACATCTCCAAAGCCTAACTGCGGTTGCCAATCCGCCTGTCAAGCGTAGCAACTGTTAACAAGACCTCTCAAGAGGGAGGCTTGTGCTCAGCAGTGGACAGTTAAAGGCTGATATGTTGATGATGATGAGATATTATTCAGTTGAGGTAGAGGAAGGGGGAGGGTGTTGGCCTCTTTAAAAAGGTTTATTAGTAGTAACTGAGATGTAGCACAGACGGATGGACAGACATGGTACAGAACCCTAAAAAAGCGCATATGTATTCTTAGACTTTAACCAAGATAATATAATATATGTCCTTCTTCGTCTCATATAGTCCCTGTATACCATTTTTCATAGTAATTAGTTTAGCACTAATATAGAAGTAGATTTACAGCATTAGGAGTTACCAAAAAAAGTTATTTTTGCATTTATAATTTTAAAGATCTTATAGTTATCTACTTCCAAAATCCACGCTAGCAAAAGATGGTCTAATATGGCATTGTATTATTTGTGCTTTACCTCAGAGTTTAGAGTAACTTGCAGCCATCTTACTAAAAGACCATAAGAATAATACAGTACTAATAATTACAGGCTGCACAAAGACTGTCTTCTGTGTACACAAGTCCAGAAGACATAGATTTATGGGTGGGAGGTCTTCTGGAAGAAGAAGTAGAAGGTGGTGTGGTTGGTCCCACTTTCGCCTCTATCCTGGCTGATCAGTTTCTCAGAATCAAGAGAGGCGATAGATATTTCTATGAGCACGGACCTGAAGTAAACCCGGGAGCTTTTACACCGAGTAAGTATTTTTTTTGTTTATGGAGAATAATAATTGAAGCAAAAACCTCTTTAGTTGACTTGGGTTATTTTTGAATGAATATACCGATTTGTAAAAGCTTCAAGTTGCTCAGCTAGCTATGGGGAGGTCGAGTTTGGAAATATAAAATTTATATAGTATTGGGAATGACAAAATGAGAATAGCCGTAGCCGTACGAAAGTAACTGATATAACTCGAAGGAGAAGCAAGCTCATGTAGCTTAAAGAATCGACAACCGATGAGAGATTAAAAGTTGTTGAGTGGCTATTCCGTACGGGTAAATAAAGTATTGGACGACCCTCCACTTGATGGAGTGATGACATCAAATGCATTATAATGACTCAGTAGATGCAGGTGGTTCGTGATTGTTCCTTACGGCAATCTATGGGGAAGTTCTATGTTCAGCTTCGGACAGATAACGGCTGATACGATGATGACGATGATAGTGATATGCTAATGTTCACAGTTTTCACTCCTGTCGATAGTCTCTAAGGATTTCTTGAAATGTTTGTTAATAATGAAGAAGAACTTTTTGGTAATGACTGCAAATTGAACCTGTATTATAAATAAAAAATAAATAATAAATATGTAATGAAAATGAAATTAGCAGTGCATAAAGGGCACCATAGGCATTCTCTGACAATCATGGTTTTACTCGTTTTATTTGCTATTCCAAAATGCTATTCAAAAAGAAAATAATAGCTATAAGCTTCTGAAGAAACTTGAAGTCTTTAAGTTAACTACTATCAGTTAAATTTCATTAATTATGTTGACTATGGTTCTACTTTCTTCCGCTTCGTTAACAATGTGTTTAAAAATCAGATATTTAGAATTTTATTCCGGGTCCCGGTTTACATCGTTTAAGTGATGTGCCGATTGTTAATCGATTAATCTGCATAGATCTCCAATTTAGATGAATTACCGCAAAATAGTCTTGTAAGCAAACCGAAAGCGTTGTTGTGAATTGTAATACGATCAACAATCGTAATTCATTATTTTGATAATATTAATCAATCCAATTAGTTTTAACATAAGGTGCTGGATACTTGAGTAAGCTTTCTATAGTTCACATGTTATAGAAATTTGTTTCGAGATTTCCTTCTCTTGTTTCTGTCTTCCTTCTCTTACCAGAGGGAGACTTTGTACAAAAGTCGATTGCTTGGGTACCTCTGTCCTATTCGTGTTTCAACCGTGAAGCAGTTGTGTTTGCATGGTTGTGTCTTGGTTTGAAGGGTGGGGTATGACGTGAATTTACTGGGTACAGAGGAATAACACCTGAGTCCTCAGGAATGGCAACGTATAGGGGGTATCATGGGCGAAACAGTATACTCTGTTATGTCCATGGTACTGCTCATGTCTATAGATGACGGTTACCACTTTACATCAGGTGGGCCGTCAGCTTGTTTGCCATTCTAAGTTGTATAAAAAAAAATCTTGTACTGGATTATTTATGTTTTATTGTTCTTGTTCGTCCTCACCATATACTGTTTTTGAAAATGAAGTGGTTGTATATTATTTTGTTTATTACTAGTATGAAAAATGTTTATTAAATACAAGCATTTATCTGCTACTTCGTCAACGTGATTAGAATATGTTGATTGAGCGTAATAAACAGAAGCCTTTTTCATTTCAAATAGTACATGTACACCAAATTTTATGACGAATGGTTGAGCCACGAGATACTAGGTGCGAAGAGTTAGTTAATGAAGAGACATACATTTACAACATTAGTAAAAATATTAGAAAAGATAAGTGATCGTAGATAAATTTTATCTATGGCTTACAAGGATGAGAAAGAAGTGTTATTGGATAAGGCAGAATGCTATCAAATATTCAACCATTTTTAAAAAAGTTATTAAAATTGACGTAGGCGTTCTCTACCAATAATGTAGCTTAACTACAGAATTGTATACCATATTGATTTTATAAGTTTGGCTAAAATTTAAAAAAAAATATAGGATCTATTTTTGAAATGTCAAGAATCGGATGGAAACCAGATCATTTTAAATTTAGTAAAAATTTGATAACTAAATGAAATAACGGACTGATGAAGAAGGATTATTACGTTGCAGGTCAATTGGCAGAAATAAAGAAGGTGACAATGTCCAGAATAATCTGCGACAATCGGGACGGGATAGAGTTGTTTGCGCAACCACCCAACGCTTTCTTGAGAGGTAATCTTCCTGGGTATGTATCATTTATTGTTTATCTTGTTATAGATGTTTCATTTCAGTATAAAGAGATATTTAGAGTTAATGTAATAGAGCTTGTAAAAACAAATAATTAAAACATATTATAAGCTAGTAAATTCACCGTGTAAGTCCGGCATAGAATGGGCCAGCCCTTCCTTTCCCGTGGGCGTCGTAAAAGGCGACTAAGGGAGGGCGAGGGATGAAAGACGCTGGTACTCATCACCAGCGTCTCTCATAAAATATCATCAAAGACCTGCCTGCGGTTACCAATCCGCTGGCGAAGCATTAAGATTATGCATTAGAGATATTTGGCGATTATACTACAAATTAAAAACAAATTTTAAAACCACAACACAATATGCATGTGAGTTTGTTTTAACGAATTTGATAAATTGTCGCAAGTTAGAAAAAAGAAACTAAATTAAATTTTTGATAGATAGATAGATAGATAACCTTTATTACCAGTATTAAGAAAATAAAAAATTAAAACAACTCAAAGAAAAAAAAAAGCAATTAATGTTGCTGGTAATAGGAGCCGCCTCAGCTGTTGCTATATATGTACAGCTCCAGCGAGATGTACCTATATGGCGGTGATTTTCAGGCGGCCCCTTAACTCCTTTACCTTTAGCATGCGTGCGGGTCGCCAATACCTATTTCTCGGATTAATTTTATAGTTATTTAGGCATATTGGTTTTACTTATATATTAAGTTTTTACTTATATGTACATAAAAATTTCGTATCACGATGTTTTCAGTCGAACTCCTCCAAATTGGCTGGACCAATTTTTAATTTTTTATGCATATTTGGTAGCTACGAGAATAGGTTTATAAACTATATTTTATACAGATTGGTGATTAGAGTATTTATATGACAGAACGACGATTGCCAGGTTAGCTAGTTTATAAATGTTATTTGATTGTTCAGCAAATGAAGCTAGCATACTAGCTGCGTCCACTGTTTTGGTTGTCTGTTTACATTTGCTATGATTGATTTGTTCTTTTTGAACCTGACTTTATTTATTATTATTAAAAAGATGCACATGTCTATAAATGATGGTTGCTTTAGTATCAGTTGGACTCTTGTTGGTTAACGTCGATGCCATTGTTATAAGTTTACTTACTACAAGTAAATTAATGGATTAATTTAAGAAATGAATAGAATAGAATAGAAAATACTTATTGCCAGAAATAGACATAATTACAACAGAAAATAGAAAAATATGATATATACAAGAAGCGGCTCATATAAGGCAAAAAAACCGGCTCAGCTGATGCTGTGAGCGTCCCAGTGCAATGTGTACAGCTGCACAGCGCTGGTTTTCAGCCATTTCCTCTCTAAATATTAATAATGAATATGAATTCTTGAAGATTATTGGAAATTAAATAAGTATTGCAGTCACATAGTTGGACACATTTTAATTATTATTATTAACAATATAACAATAGGAAAAGCAATAAAAAATAATAATTTGATTTAAAAAAAGTAAATTGATAAAATGGCTAGGTGTTAATATTAGAATCGATAAGAAGGATTAATACAAATGTTTATAATTTGAAATAGGTTTCTATATTTATGAAGATTTTATTTCCAGGAATGAAGCTGTGCCCTGTGAGAGTCTTTTGATCCCGTCCATGGATCTTAGTAGATTTAAGGAAATTTAATTTAATATAATTTTCTTTTTGTATACGAAGGATAATATCAAATGATCTGTGATCATACGTGTTCTTTAAAATTTTTATGCACAACTACCTAATCCATTGAATGGAATTTTTTAATATTGTTTTAATAAATACTTTATCACAGTTGGTTAAAAGGTATGTCTATAAAGTTGGATTTTTGAAGTGAAATCCAGTAATTATATTTTCTCTTTATTATTTGTTTGATTTTCTTTGTTTACTTCTTCGTCTACTATTACCTTAATTTCATTTTTAAATACATTTAAGTTAATTTCAACACGATTTCAGCGCTTGTTTTTGTCATCATCATTGGCTATGATTTTGTGATCATTATTTGAACAGTCTCTGTCGCAAAAGTGATCATTCTATTTTATTTTTTTTTTAATTTAATTATGCACGTGTAACAATTATTTACCTTTTGCGACAAAGTCGAGTACTTTGATTGTATCTGTTTAATTAGCAAATTGATTGTTTGATATGACTCGAGTCTTTTGACGTTTTTCTGTTTTCATATAAATATTATTCTTAAGTACGTTTGATCTGGTATCACACTGAAGCCCGAACAGTGGGAAACTAGATATTTTATTGTGAAAAACGTCTAAAAATTTGGGTTTTACACGGATTTCCGATTATCTCGAGTGCTATGTTTCATTTTTAGTCAGTTTTTCATTATTATTGGATTTCATTTCAATTTGGTTTAGAACTGTACTTGATTCAATGATTTTTTCTTACATAAAAAATCCAGGAGTCAGGGTTCATAGTTGGTAACTGTGATAAAGTTTTTTTTTTTAAATATTATATTTTTGTGAATAAAAGATAACAAAAAAGCGATTTTGTCACATTAATCTGTTACATTCCATAGATTTATAACGTATTTATGTAAAAAACAACAGAATGGCAAAGAAGGTGCGGCAGATGCTTTGATTTTAGTGTTTAGTAATGAATTATATTTAATATTACAGCATGAATGTGTGATGTAGACAGAACTATTTTATGTATTTGTTACTGTAAGAGCCCGTGCATAGGTAAATCTTAAGTTTTACCAGTAATTTTTAGGATTTACCAATGTAAGTTGGCAAATGTGAGGACTTTATAAAAACAAAATAATTTTTGGGTATCTTTCACGAAACCAAACTTAACCTACATTTTTGACCTTTTCTTTTCTTTACAGTACTAGACATAATTTTAGACATGTTGAGTGTGTGATGCTCGTGCTCATGGTCAGAAAGGTAGGTTAGGTTTGGTTTGCTAAAAGATACAAAAATGATCTTGACCTTTTTTTTTCTTTATTGTGCTAAACATAATTTTAGACATGTTGAGTGTGTGATGTTCGTGCTCATGGTCAGAAAGGTAGGTTAGGTTAGTTTTAATTTGGTGAAAGATACAAAAATTATATTGTTTGTATAAAATCCTCACATTAACCAACTCACATTGGCAAATCCTAAGAATTACTGGTAAAACTTAAAATTAACATATTAATAATTATTTTCTTGTAAATAAGAATGTTCCATATGTATTATGATTAGTATATATATATTTGATTGAAATTCATTGATTGATTGATTGATTGATTGATTCAAGTATGCATTGTAATCATTTGTATTTTTAATAATTGTAAATAATAATTAGAAATTATGAAATATGAATTCGTCATGCCTTTCTTGATCGTTAATAATGATTGAAGGATCCAGCAAGCGAACAGAGCTCCAACGCATGTTTTGTGAATTTTATTCTTTATGCTAAGAGTTTATGTGTAATAAAAATATAATTAATTCTATTAAGTAAACGTTGGTTTTATTTATGGTTGGTTGGTTTTTCTTTGTATTTGGGTGATAATGAGATGGTAACCCCACCCGCGCTATCGGTATACACCGGCGGGGCACCAGTGAAGGATGATAGGTGAGGATGAAGCAGGTCAGTTAACTCATCGTGATGAATTCAACTAGAATTGTTCACGATGGTTTCCAGGGGGAACCACGAGGAGGTCGATTTGATATAGTACATTGCTAGCAATGGGGTTACTTATCCCCATTACTGATAATCCCATGGAGGCCTATGATAAAAGTATTATATTACTCATCTTGCTTATAGATACTTGAATTGATATTTATAATTTAATATTGAAGAAGAAGATTTTTTTTATACAACTTAGAATGTCAAACAAGCTGACGGCCCACCTGATGGAAAGTGGTAACCGTCGCCTATACACATGAGCAGTACCATAGACATAACAGAGTATACTGTTTCGCCCATGACACCCCCCATGCGTTACCATTCCTGAGGACTCAGATGTTATTCCTCTGTACCTAGTAAATTCACGTCATATCCCACCCTTCAAACCGAAACAGCCATGCAAACACAACTGCTTCACGGTAGAAACAACAATGGGACAGAGGTACCCAAGCAATCGACTTTTGTACAAAGTCTTCCTCTGGTAATAATTTAATGATATTTAAGTAATAAGTTATGCAGAAACATTCCTCGCTTGACCGCATAATACATACTTGTTCATCACGCGATCCATGGCGCGGATTACACGGGACCATTCATTTTTACTTTTTATGTTGTAATATGAACATACCATAAGAATATTGTTCTGGACATATTTTGTAAATGCATCTACAAATTAAATATAGCTTTGTTATTTAAATTATATACCTACATTAACTTTATCCACGTGAGCGGATTATGTACGGTTTTACAGTTTTAAGACATTTATTTCTCTAAAGATTTACATAAATCATTTAAATGAGAAATTTAAAATTATGAGCATGCGCTTGATATCTACTGTTAGCGAGGGTAATTTATCAAACATCAACTAAAAATAAAACGTAATGTGAAACTACCCTCATTTTATAAAAAATATAAAACACAATGCGACTCAATACAACAAGTTGCTTATAATGTAAGGGCAATATCTACAATCTTCGGTTAACTGATGGTTAACTTACACTTATTGTATTATTATTTTATTTATTATTTGTCACATTCTGTATACACTTAAATACGCAATTCACACGCATACACATGTATATCACACATTCAAATATTATAGTTAAAAATTAACTTAATAAAGTTAGAATTAAATATGTAAATATTACACATTATGTCCTTTTCTATTCCAGATAATACATTCAATTTTTTTTTTAAATTAACAATTTTATTGTTAAAAATTTAATTATATTTTAATGTAACAACTACCGGTTTAATTTATATGTAATTAGATCGAAAAAGCTTGAATAGTTTCGGAATCCATTCGGGAACCTTAGTCATGAGCGACTGTGACACCAACACGACTGGTGGCAATAACACGGTAAACAAAGAGGAAGATTACGAAGATCAGTTGTTCATACCCGAAGAGATCCGAACGCTACTTTTCTTATCTGTGATAATGCCGCAAGCGCCTACAGCTCGCTCTCAGCGGGCTGAGGCAGTCAGGCTCGTGCTCGCGTCACAGTCTTTGACTCATGACTAAGGATCGCGAATTGATTCCGAAACTAGTCGAGATTTTCGATCTAATTACATTTAAATTAAACCGGTAGTTATTATATTAAATTTTTTTAATGACTAATTAAATGAAGGTATTTAACAAACAATCTTACTTTCATATTTATAATATTAGTAATACATAGTAACTATAACCGTCAGTAAGTTTCGCTTTCGTGTCATAACCGCTCATGTTTAAGGGTCTCGAATTGGTCTCGAAACTAGTCGAGTTTATAATTATTACATTATAAAATCAATGAGCGTATTTGTATGGTAATTCTAACTTTTTTACAATTTAATAATAGTACCATTGAAAAATATATAAAAATAATTGGTAATATTTCGTTTATAATTGTCTTCTTACAAAAGCCATGAAATAATGTAACTATTTTAATTTATATTAATAAATTTCAAATTCTATTAAATGCTAAGAATTTTCTATTATCTTTTTAGAAAAATAAAAGCTAAAAATTTATAACTATAATAATATAATATACATTTTTTTTTATTTAATATTGAAGGATAGATGAATAGATGATAATGGTATGGTAACCCCGCCTGCGCTAACGGTACACGCTGGAGGAGCACCAGTGAGGGATGATGGGTGAGAATGAATCGGCAAGTCAGTTAGGTCATCGTGATAAATATACCTAAAATTCAGCACGATGGTTTCCAGGAGGGACCGCGGAGAGGTCGACCTGACAGGGTATATACTAATAATGAAACTGGCGGGGGGAAAGGGATTGTTAGTAATGGAAACTAAGAATCCCATTGTTAGCAATACACCCATCCAGGTCGACCTCCTCGCGGTTCTCTCTGGAAACTATCATGATTAATTCCTTGTGAATTCATCATGATGGGCTAACTGGCCTGTTTTCATTCTCATCTATCACCCTTCACTGGTGCTCCGCCAGCGTATCTCGTTAGCGCAGACGGGGTTACTGGCCGTCCGCATTAGTAATAATCCCTTCCTCCTTATATTGAATGATAGGACACAAGCTGAAAGTCTACCTGATAGAAAGAAGTAACCATCACTAATGCATTTAAACTGTAAAATAATGTGTTATTAGGGTAAGGAACCCTGAGGTTAGATAAACTTTTTACACTCCACAGCGCCACTGACAATGCTAAGGAATCATTAAATGTGTTGTAGTCAAAACTCTTAATCAGTCAAAAGTATTATTGACTGAACAGGTCGGTCAAATGTGGTTTTGACTGAGAATTATTAGTACTTTTGACTGCAAATTTGCGGTTTTTTTTTATGGGTGAAAATGGTATGGCAACCCCGCCTGCGCTAACGAGATACGCTGGCGGAGCACCAGTGAAGGGTGATAGATGAGAATGATAACAGGCCAGTTAGCCCATCATGATGAATTCATCAGGAATTAACCATGATAGTTTCCAGGGGGAACCGCGAGGAGGTCGACCTGGTTGGGTATATTGCTAGCAATGGGATTCTCAGTCTCCATTACTAACAATCCCTTTCCCCCGTACACTTGCGGTTAGGTTAGAGTACTTTTAACTGTTAGTCTGTTGTTTAGTCGAAAGTATTATTGGTTCAAGTATACGGTCAAAAGTACTTTTGACTGATTTTGCTAGTCAATAGTATTTTTGACTGGTTAAGAGTTTCGACTGCAACATATGCATCTCGATTCCTGGAACGCATACCGCGTTATAATACGCGAGAAAAATGCGAGTTGCAAAATAAAACCGCTTCGAACGCAAACGAATTACTGTACCGTTTCGTAAGGAGAAAGTTCAATAATAACTGTCGAATTTTTAATACAACAATGGTCATAAATTGGCCAGAGATGATACATTACTTTGGAAGGCTCCCGATGGTGACAACTCTTATACTTTTTTTTTATGGGTGAAAATGGTATGGTAACCCCGCCCGCGCTAACGGGATACGCTGGCGGAGCACCAGTGAAGGGTGATAGATGAGAATGAAAACAGGCCAGTTAGCCCATCATGATGAATTCATCAGGAATTAACCATGATAGTTTCCAGAGAGAACCGCGAGGAGGTGGACCTGTTTGGGTATATTGCTAGCAATAAGATTCTCAGTCTCCATTACTAACAATCCCTTCCCCCCAATTCTTATACTGTGACTATCATTTTGACGATAACGACTTAGACCTCATTCGAGTTTTAGTCAAGGCAACTTATAAAAAGAGGGATGAAAGGGGTTGTTTAGTAATGCGCGAACTACAAGTTATGTGGCTAAGTTTGCCATCCAATTAATTAATTAATTAATTTATTTTTAACTATTTTAAGTAGATAAGTATTCATTATTTATTTTTTAAATACGTTTTTTAAAAAATAGGTTTTTACGATTTTTTTTAATTTAATTCGTTATATAATTAAACATATTCACCGTGTGGTCCCGGCATAGAATGAGCCGCCCCTTTCTTTTCCATGCGTGTCGTAAGAGGGAACTAATGGAAACCTAATGAAAGTGGTAATCGTCACCTATAGACATGAACAGTACCATGGATATAACAGAGTATACTGTTTCGCCCATGATAACCCCCATGCGTTGCCATTCCTGAGGACTCAGGTGTTATTCCTCGGTACCCTGTAAATTCACTGCCATATCCCACCCTTCAAACCGAAACACAGCCATGCAAACATAACTACTTCACGGTAGAAACATAAACGGGATAGAGGTGTCCAAGCAAACAACTTTTGTGCAAAGTCTCCTTCTGGTAAGTAGCTTTTTTTTTATACCACTGAGGTGGCAAACAAGCATACGGCCCACCTGATGGTAAGCGGTTACCGTAGCCTATGAACGCCTGCAATACCAGAGGTATTACGCGCGCGTTGCCGACCCTGAAGAAACTTCTTTACCCCCCTTTTGAAGAACCCCATGCTGTAGTCTCTTGGGAAAACCTCGGCAGGGAGCTCATTCCATAACCTGAGTGTTCGTGGGAGAAAACATCTCTGAAACCGCGTTGTACGCGACCATCTAGGCTGTATGGTATGAGGGTGAACTCCCTGTCGATGGCGAGCCGTACGATGGTAGAAAGTAGCTTATTTTAATATCGGTCCCACGACTTACTAATCGGATCTCTGAAAATAAATTTCGACAGATTTATTATCGGAGACCTACTAAATAACTAATAATTGGTTACGAAAACCAATACCTTTGATCGGTATTCGGTATCGTGTATTACACAAAAAAAAAGTAAATAACTGTCTGATTTGTAAAAAGTAAAAAAAAGCAGGTTTGTAAAAGAAAGCACATGAATGCGTTGTGACAA